AATCCCACACATGGCGTGGGTGTCTGGTATGTGTCTATTCTGCGTTTGTGGTTTCCTGTGTTTAGATAGAGGTCTTGCGACGAGCTGATCACTTATCCAAGGTGTCCTACCGTCTGTAAAATGATCCAAATAAAAACCTCGACACCGCAGGGTATAAGAGGAACGGATTAAGTAAGGAAATATTAAAGTAAGTAAAGCTATCCCTGTGGAGGCCCATAAGTTTGTGAGACGTCGAGGCTCCCAGAGTTTCTAGACAGTCCGGTCACAGATGGCAGCCAGGCTGTCAGTCATTTCTGTTAGAGACTGAATCGACCCCAGGGCGTAGAGTGGCTTGTAGCTTGTGTCTCAGCCAACTACACTACCGCGTGCCCCATATATGTATATATTACTCGAATTAAATATATTTAAATTGTCTTTGTTACGTACCATCGATAATTAATTTCTTAATAAATCGTTTTACAAATCCCAGTCTCCTCATATCCATCAGTAAACGATACACTCATGATCCTGTATACGACACATTCTTCTGCGTAAATTATACCAACTGTCAGTCTGAAAGTGTGGCTGAAATAGTTCAAGTGCTGATCATTCAGTGCTACCAACTGCAGATCCTTGAAACTGTTACTGTGAAATATTATCCTAAGCTTATTCTTTGAAGTTTCAACTCGCTAAATCCCCTTTCACAGGACGCCGTATAAATTGGAAGAACTTAACTACTGATACCTTGCTGAGGTGTGTGAATTTTCTCTTTGAGATATAACAGGAATCAGTTAAGCCCTGAATCTCTATTCTGTGACACCCTGCAAAGACTTCATACGCCTCTCCGAGGACTTTTTTCCGTAACATCCTCAAGGGAAGAGTTTAAAATAATGCGGTGTAAATGCTTACTTAGAGCAATTAAGAATTTTAAGTTCACTGCCGGCTGGCCAACAGACAATGACAAACACAAAACAGGCAGGAGCTACTCCACACGTGATGGTGTGAGAAAACTTTTCATTAAAAAATCATTCTTAATTTAATTAGTGGCCTTTTGCATGTTCCGAATTTTGCTTTCACCCACGGTATTTCAGTCAGTTGCACTTCTTGCACTGAAACACCCTCGACATTTCTTTCTACGTTTCTCCTACAGTCCTACAGGGATGAAGAGCAATTTCAACATGGCTCAACATCAGGTCTTTTCTTTCGAAAATTGGGGAATTTTCCGAATTAAAGTATAATTAGAATGACCAAGTCAAGGAGGGTGAGGTGGGCAGGACATGTAGCACGAATGGGGAGAAAAGGAATTCATATAGGATATTGATGGGAAAGCCGGATGGAAAGAGACCACTGGGAAGACCAGTGGGAAAAAATTGATCTTAGACAGACAGGATGGAATAGTATGAAACAGATTGATCTGGCTCAGGATAGGGACCAGTGGAGGGCTCTTGTGAACACGGTAATGAGCCTTTGGGTTCAATTAAATGCTGATAAGTTCTTGAGTAACTGTCAATTGGCAAGACTCGTTCAAAGTTCCTTGCCACGAAACTGGCAAACTGACGCAGACCGGAACAACCCACGCTAGTACATGCGCAAACCCACGTACAACACACTACGCATGTCTACAGCAATTCACCATTAACATCTCAGCCGAGTTTGTGTATTACGGCCTCATCGGCTCCCACTTGCTACTTCTCCGTACATCTGACAGACGACAATATTTGAGTTTCTTCCTCTAGCAACACGACTGGAAACGAACATCCTTCAGCTCGTCGAGATGAGGAGGCTTGATGCCCACTGTTCTTATCAGCGGTGCTTTGTAAATAGGACAGCTCATGGCCATCATGGTCACCGGACATCAATAACTTACACTTTTACTTTTCTGAAAACTGTCGTATTAGCAACAGTGTTAGTAAGAGGTTATAATCATCATTACTACTCAGGGTCGAATCATCGGTAATCGAGCATGCGGACCATTTCAACAATTCATGTGATCAACATATGAGAATCGTGTAGATGAGTAGTCTTGTCGTCACTATCCAAGCCAGATGAATATTTATTGAGTACTTTGGACAACCAGTGTCAGAAATATACCATTTAAGTGATCCCTAGGTGTCTGTCCAATAGTTTTCGGACCTTCTGACTGATAATTTAAAGAAAATGAAAAAGCGAATATTTTTCAGAGACCATATTCTAAATAAAGTGTTTTGGTTTGTACGCCCAAAATTCGGGTGTGGTATTAATCGGTCATATCCCATATAATAAAAATGTCGTTATAAACTGAACATAAAGAAAGACACCTACTGACCACATTACAGAAAGACCAACAGACCAAATTTATACATTTGAAATTCAATAAAAGGTCCCATACTATAAATATCGGCATATACAGATGATTTCGTAAAGAATAAGGCGATACATTTTGAAATTCAAATTCATAAGAAATGAATCATTCGAAATATAACATGAAGCTTTTTAGTTACACTGATAATTTACTTTCTTTTTAGTAAAAAGAACGAAAAGTAGAAATATGTATACTATTCCGCAGAAAACACTGTTTTGCCTGATCTCGAAAATTTATTTTTTTAAATTTTTAAAAGTTGCTAACATTCATGTTTGAACATGTAAAAATGGTAAGATACTTTCCTGTTATCTGATGTTCACCATCAAAGAGTCTGGCTGTACTGGGAACACAACCATCTAAGGGCAAAAGAAAAATATTCAAGATTAGCCTAAAAGCATCTGTCTTAATATTCACCGAATATGGGACGGAGGCTGCCGGTCACGGTAGCCGAGCGGTCTAAGGCATGCACTGTCTTCGCTCGCTCGTAAGCCGGGATCGTGGGTTCGAATCCCACTCAGGGCATGGATGTTTGTGTGCGTTTTCCTTAGTTTGTCAGCGACGAGCTGATCACCCGCCCAAGGAGTCCTACCGTATGTGTAAGATCTAGAAAAACCGAAGTGAACGGAGAAGTTCATGGAGGTAGGCCTAGGCCCACTGGGGCTGTAGTGCCAGGGGGAAAAAATGGGACTGAGGCTTCGGTGCTATTATTCACCTGCATTCATCTAAAATTTTCACACGGAAAGTCACCTACAACATATATGTGGTTACGTTCGTATTTAAGAGGTTCCGGGTTTGAATCTAGGTACGAATATCGGGTACCCCGCTTGAAGTATTTCACGATTTCACTCAGCCCCTCTGGGAAAATTTTGGAACAGTGCCGTCTGTAAACATGGGCCACGACTAGTCTCCTGCACCTTATCCGATTTATAATTAACAAATCAGGTTCTATTCAGCGGTCGCTAGGTAAGCTGGGAGGTTGAAACGAGTCATTAAATAAACAAAAAATCTCTGTTCAGTCAATCTTATCATATACGCTACTATAATAAGCAAAACACGCATTGGTTAATTAATGCATCAATCAATTCAACATGCTCTGGCAAGCTTGCAATTCATCAATAAGAAAGGGAAATTTTACAGAATGATCAAGATGTAAAATTTAAGTTACAGTACTTTTCAAATGGGTGTGACGCTATTCGCATTAATTATGCGCAATATAACATTCTGTACCACGAACAGCAGATGTTGAACTAAATTTGTATCAAACTTGAAGTTCTTACAGCAATAGCTATCAAGAGTTCTGTCTTCTGAGATAGAATTTCGTGTAGCTGAGTGAAAGCACACCGAGATTTTGGAGGAATATATTGCCTCCATCTTCAGGGTCGAAAAGTAATCCAAGCAAGAGACCAGCTCTGCTTCCTGCCTGATTCATGCTGCTTGCTTCATTCACTTATCCTTCGAACCTGAAGATACGGGCGATATATTCCTCCGAAACTTTTTTTTTTTAATTTTTTTATTTCGCTTAGTGGGGAGTGGAGTCCAACTGGGTCCACTCGGCACAGCGGCCACTGATTGGCCTATTGTAGCCTGCCCCGGGTGATTACGATGATGGAGAATTTGGTGGAATGAAGATTGGCAGGGGAAACCGAAGTACTCGGAGAAAACCTGTCCCAGCGCCACTTTGTCCACCACAAATCCCACTTGACCAGACCCGGGCCGCCGCGGTGGGAAGCCAGCGACTAACCGCTTGAGCTATGGCGCGGCCTTCCTCCGAACCTCTGGTTGACTTTTACCAGACTACACGGCTTTATATCTCAGATGATATAAGTCCTGACGGTTGTACTGATACGAGAAAAAACACTGATTAAAATGTGTATAACAAGAGAAGGCCTATGTTATTCAGGTAATATTTCAGTACAGACAATAACAAGAAAATGAACAGATTTTTGCATGACGAGATTCCGTACCGTAGATTTGGGTCAACGATAACTGCAGGCAAAGTTCATACCAAAATCTGCACTTAGCATATGTTTCTAAACCGAGTCAGAATTGCAAATGTAACAAAGCATAAGGCAAGTAATGAGAAATCGCGAAGAAGAATAACGTAAAGAGAGATACAGAAGAAGGATGTGTATCGAAGACACCGTAACGCGGATCTTACGTAACTAAAGCCAGCGTTTCCATCTCTTTTTATCTGCTCCACCTTTCATCTTCTCCTCGCCCTGCGCTCTCGTCCAGCATTCCATTCTTAGCGAATGTGCAACTCTCACTGCCTTGAGAAAACGAATATCAAACCTCCCCTCTTCGTTGACGAGAAAGAAGAAAATAATCTTTTAGAATCTTCCCCTTCCAATTAAATCAAATTCTCACACAGGGGCTCCCCTCTCAAAACAACGTCAATCTCCCTTCCATTTCAACCCCCTCCTAATCCATGTGCTTCTGCTTGGACACATCGGAGTCTTCCCCTTCCATTCGTGTATCCATATCACAGTTCTCTATGCAAAGATTCCTTTTTGTGTATCCGTCATGGCTTTGCATCTATCCCCTACTCTAGTCCTTATCTTTCACCTTCCTTTCTAATCATCTTTATTCACTGTCTCACTAAATGTCTGAGAATTTTCCTCCACCACCAGAGCTTCATTACCAGCCTTCTGGTCTTCCGGATTGTCTGAAACCAGCCCAATGCACTATATAAGAAGCAATGCAAACATATATTCATGCAGTTGTGTATCTTAGTGCCGGAAAGCGAGACCACTCAGAAGATTGGGGATACCGCACACATCGCATTCAACAGCATGGCGTTTTCTAAGGTGCGTCTTAAAAAGGAAAGGATTATAATCTCAATAGAAGAACCGTCGTCGTACACATCGGAAGATAATTATGACAATTCATGCCTCGTGCCGAATTGAAACATACCGTAACTGGAGTAGCATCAAGCTCTTCGAGTGCTTACAGCTAATGTCATGCAGTCTTTCATTCGTGAGCAAAAAGTTGATAAGAATGTGCTAATTTGGGTGATGATTTGGTATTGGAGGAAGTGAAAGTTTAGTTCTTAGAGTAGACATTTAATTGTTTCTTGCATTATTCTTACTTCTTACTTAATATTAACGTTTGTTTCTTTTTATTCTTGTAACCTCGTCCTTGGAGTGTAGTTAAGTTACACTGCAAGGCCGAACGCGCAGACAAATCACTACAATGAGACGCTACAGACACCAGCCGCGTCACATTTTCAAGATATGTTTACAGTTTATTTTCTTGCAGTACTCGGTTAGTTCAAAGACGAACACAAAGGAGCCAAACGCACAGTTAAAAATAATTGGACAAGGAAATTAGTAACTAAATTCAGAAGTAGTTCTCTCGACCTGTCCATTGCTAGCACCTCCACAGTAACTGCAGATCCATACTCAAATCACGCTTGTAACTACGTTTCCTTTTAAATTATACGAAATTTACATAAAAATGTATAAAAATATTGAAAATTATTTAAGGTTTCATAACCTGCGTGAATCTGGATAGATGAATATATAGATGGATGGACGGATCAGTGTGAAAGTGGGTGTGTGTGTGTTGATATAAAGGCAAGTCAGAGGCTACGTCCATTTGGTCATGTAAAAATTGAAGTTAATGATCCGTTACTAATTGCTGTAAAATGAAGTTATCCCTGTGCTTAACTAATTAAGTACTATGCCATGAAGACGTATGGGGGAGTGGATGTATAGATCCGCGTTTTCTTGACCTTGACACTAGTTAGAGGTAAGTGATTAGCTTCATGCCCCTGCCCCTTTACTCCCGGTGGTAAAAGCCCTCGGTACCCGTTGGATAGGAGGCTGGGTAGGCCCCAGAGCAGGTCCGACTTGGAGAGGACAAAATTCTTAACCCTGTCGGAACTCGAACTCCGACCCCTCAGTCTTCAAGCCCATCGCTATACCGACTGCGACATCCGGACTCCTATTAATTTCAGTATTTAATAAAATAAAATTAAGCATTTGATAACCCGCAAAATATTGTTACTAAAGCGTGAAAGGATGTGAGAAGAAAGTAATGCCAATATCCATCTGAGGGCTGACTGGAATGAAGACTGCACAAGGGCCAGCTACAATATGAAAACAAGAAGAAGAAGAAGAAGAGGAAGAAAAAAAGGAATGAATTTAATTAATGAGTTTCAATCTTATCAGTCTGCATAGCGATCGGCGACAAGCTTGACAGCCAGGGTTCGATTCCCAGCAGGGACAAGAGATATTACTGTACTCCTCATAGTCCAGACCGGCCCTAGGGCCCACAGAGCCTCATATCCAACGGTCACCACTAGTCCTTTCCCTGACGGTGAAGCGGTCGAGGCGTGAAGCTGACAGCTCATCTCCATCTAGTATCAAAGTCAGGAATTATGGAGCTATATCTCCACACCCCCATACGCCTTGATGGCGTAATGATTATTTGAATATGTACAAGGAAACCTTTACTTTTATCTTAAATTATTACATCGTGAAAATAAAAATAGACTACTATAAATACACGTAATGCGAGTGCATGGAAATTTCTTCTTTTAAAATTTTAATACTCGTATATGTAAAATTTCTGCTAACTTCTTAGGTTAATCGAAACGAGAAATATAGGAAGCAGTAGATGCCTAGGACAGTTAGCACACTTGCTGAAAACATAAGCATACATAATTTAATTATTTTAATTAAAAGTAGTGCTATGCGGTAGCGTAGTTCCTTGAGGCACTATGTTAGAAGCCGGAAGATCGCTGGTTTTATTCCCGATGATTCTCTTGGATTTTTCACTTTACGTAATCCTTCCAGCCACAATATGATCCTGGGGTCGACTCAACCTCTAACAGAAATGAGTACCAGGAATCTTCCTGAGGGGTAACGGGCGGCCGGCGCGTAAGGCTGACAATTTTACCGCCATCTTTGAGCCGATTCTCTAGGGAAAATGAGGGAGCCTTGACGTCTCACAACCCTATTGGCCTTCACTGCCTGTTACAGGGATAGCTTTACCTTTTAGGTTTATAAGATTACACAGAGTAGAGGATATTAATTTCTATTATGGATCCCATTTTTCATGAATATTTATGGAACCAAATTCGCTTAAATGAACCTGTTTCCTCTTTTTATGATTCACTGATGAATGCCTTCCGATATTATTTGTCACCATTACAGTGTCGGAAATTTACAATATTTTAATTTGTTTAGTTTAGAAACAGAATTTATATAAATAAGAGACTTAAAATTATTCAATGAACAGCTACATTTTACTGTGAATGAAGAATATAAATCCAAAAAAAGAACATGTTACGTATGTCATTTAATTATGTGACGAAGTCAGATGGCTCAAGAGGTAACAATTATACTTTGTACCTGGAACTTGCCCGATTCGAATCTCGACCGTAAAGACGACCAACCTCTCAAGGCTTCAGTGGTTACCCTCGTTCCCAGTCCGCAAATGTTGGGACGCTACCACNTCTTAAAATCTGAAGAGGCTTTTAGAATAGCCTTAATCATGCTACTTACTAATGATGGTGATCAGTGATCTGATTAGAATTAACTTCTAGAAATAGAAGTGCAACATTTCTCCGATCTCGGGCATTGGCAGGCCTCAATTCTATGTATCCTCACTATAGTTGTATTTGTCTAAATTTAAATTATCATATGAATGGAACTGAATCATTTTAAGAATAGGGTAAAGCGACACAGATTGCATTTTAACAGCCCTAGGTCTAATAAGAAAATATAATTTTTCTCTAAGACTATTTAAAATATAGTTGATATTATGAAGGATTCTGGTTGGGTTTCATTACAGTGATCATTAATCTGTGTCACCTTTGACAGGGTTGTGAAGTTCACTGTGAATCTCTGTTAAACGAATTTTCAGGTTTTATCCCCAGTACACTTTTCTAGAAATACACCTGGAATAATATTCTTTACGTTTATTTCAACTTGTGAGGGATACAAACAGATAAATATATTAAATAATTTATATGTATGGAATTAGAACTGTGTAGTATGAAAGAGAGCTCTTTTTACTTCTTGCAACCATAGATAGAAATAAATGTATAGCATTTATAAAAATAATATAATATATAACAATAAATAAATTACGTATAATATAATAAATTCTTAAAATTTATTAATATGAAAAGATAAAATGGATTTCTAACGCGCCTTTACAGTGCTGTGTATTGCTTCAAGTAGCTATTTTCTTAAATCTCATCAAAGACACAGCATTCAGCACGACCTTCTTTATAATTATAACCTTCCCTTCCAGCAGGTCAGAGAGTAATTGCAGCAATTTGGATGGCTCATGACTCAACAGTACATGCTTCTCCCGACAGAACTCATATACTTTGTAACTCACGGGATGTACAGGCACATATACGCTTTCGAAAGGAACATATCTATCCAAAGCTCCTAACACACAAACTCATTACAGCACATATGTAAGTTATATTAATATATACCTCGTATGTGAAAATTATAAAAAGACAGGCCAAAGTAATCGTCAACACGCACTTCGCTGCATTGGCATATGATAAGCCAAGTTTTACATCCATTCCAGATAGGTTATCAGACCCGATTTGTTTACACACTTACATTTAAGGTCTTTAGTCAAAGTTCGACCACTTTCACCCAAAATTGGTAAAGTATTCTATATAGAATTTTCAAATAGACTTGAAAGGATTCTGACGATGGTGTACAGAAATATTTGGCTTATTTTGGACTCTATCCATCATCTGGTATACATAAGACGAAAAAGACAACGTTTCGGAGGCTGGATCTGTCTCCGTCCTCAGGTGGATGGGGCAGGATAGACCTACTCAGTTGGGCCCCTTAGAAAGAGCTAGTCCAGTGATTGAGACTAGCTCTTAAATCAAAGATTTAATCCTACAAATTGACTATGAGACGTCTCAAATTCTGTCTTCCTAGATATCTGACCGACTTCGTTCGTTTCTTTCCTAAACCCATCGTCACAGTCAGCAACAGTCGAATGCGTCAACGTTACATTTCGTCATAATAGGCCTCTCGTCTTTCGTTCAGTGAACTTCCTGCTTAAAGTGCTCAAGGTATTCGATGTATTTGACTAGAACACTTATACGTTATACAAAAAAATAGAAGGAAACTTCAGAGTAAAACATCCTTACGGATGGATGCACAAACTGGGGTACTGTATTTACAGCAAATATAAAGTTCTCCTTGTGGTAAATTAATTGAGAACCATGCCATGAAGACGTATGGGATAGCGGAAGTATAGCTCCATCATTCTTTATCTTGGCACTAGATGGAGGTGAGTAGTCTGTTTCATACCTTGGCCGCCATAAAAATCCCCCGGTACCCACTATGCATGGGGCTAGATGGACCATAAAGTCGATCTGAAGTCTGTGAGCTAAAAAACTTGTCCTAAAAAGAATCGAATCCCAACCGCCCAGCCCGTAGCCCATTAGACTGAAGTTCATGTACCACTTCAAATAACAGTGACTCTTAATGGGCACAACAAAATGAAGACCTAACCTCAAGTTTAAATAGAGTTTGTATCTTGACATTTCTAATGTTCTAAGAGTACATATGAACTTAAAAGAACTGATAGTCTAGTAAGTTAAATTGCGTTATTTATGAGAAGGTTTATTTATTCTCTCTATAAATTTTATAATAAAATCAGTAATATAAATTTATATGACAGTAACCGAAATGGAGGACATTCATTTTCGTAACACAAAATTCAGAGATATGGCATTTTTCTGCCAAGTTTATTAATGGGAGTGCGGTGTGAACGGAACTTGGTGGACAAATTGGCGCTGGGGCAGGTTTTCTCCGAGTACTTCGGTTTCCCCTGCCAATCTTCATTCCACTAATTGCTCCACAATCACCCTCACCTATCATCTGGGGCTGGTACAATAGTTCAATTAGTGGCCGACGTACTAAGTGGACTCGGTCTCACTCCACCCCAAGAAACTAAAAAAATAAAACTAATAGATTGCAATTTATTTCTGGTATGACGTATACAGAGTTTATACGAAAAAATTAAACTTACGTTGCAGCGCGCATGCTAACTACGATCCCTCAGTTGGTTACCACTTCGTACTGGACGGTCAGGGGTTGATTCTCGGCAGGGACACTGTGGACACGCGTGACATTCTCTTTCGCCATTATATCTTCATCCAGGTACTGAGACAGGTATCCCCTGAACAGAGGCAACAGCACCCTTTATTCACCGCCCTCTGTTGACAAAAATCCTAATCACTGCTCACAATCGTCTTTATAACTCGTTAGTTACAAAGAAGACCGTAAAGGTAACTTCACATTCATCAGTTCTAGTTAAACGATAAAGGCGCAGTAAACTATGTATAAAGCATAAGAAAGCACTTATAACAGGGAACCTAAGTTGGACTATCGTAATTAAATTAATAAAGCATTTATTTATGCATGTAATCTAAAGTACGCCCAAGGATTCAATTTATATTTTAATATAATGAAATTGTAAATTATAATAAATTAATAGTTACGAACATTCTTAGGACTACTGAATGCATTAATCTATATTTCTTACATCCCACTAATATGGCGGAAACGAAACATTGTGAAATGTCTAAGATACATTCCAGATTTCAATATTTTGCGTAGAAAGTTTTTTTCGTTCAAAGAGAAAATGTTTTCATAAACTAAAATTTCGTTTCTCTACAACTGGACTACAGTGGTACTGAAATCCCCTCGAATATGCCAAAAGTCGGAAGAATAAGCCCTACTAGATTATGAGGCCACGTATTTTGGAGAGGGCCTGACGTTTCAGAGAAATATATCGCCTCCATTTGATCTCTTACTTAGCTTAATCTTCGACACTGAAGATGGAGTACAAATATGTCTTTGTGAAACATTGGTCTCTCTCCAAACTACACGGCGTTATAACTCAGCAGACCGTGCGTCTCATAGTCGCCGCAGTTAGATCTTGAGATCCATCACTGAAAAATTAATCGCTTTTCTTCGCGAACACTGATGCCGTAGGAAACTTTTTCTCAGCCTTTCTCGACACCACAGTCCACCCAGAAAATCCCTACATTCCAAAATACATCTAACAAACTTGTTTAATCTTATCATATCCTACGGCTTCTTTCTTGGGAACATAGTAGTCACCCAGGTTGACACGGAATTCCCCACCTTTTCTCAAATTACAATTTCCATGTTGACAAAGTCACATTTCTGTACTTCATCTTCATCCGGATGATTTGCAGTCCTGTCTATGTCTAGGTGTTCCCTCAGGTTTTCCGACAAAAATTATTTATGCATTTCTCGTCTCTCCTGTGCGCGTTATATACTCCGACCTTTATATTCGTTGGTTCTCTAGAAGTGCTGATGCTAGAACAAATGACAAAATTCCTCCTATTACGTCCTTACACTTGGGGGCACGCGGTAGCTATGCTACAAGCTGGAAGTTCGCGGGTTCAATTCCAGATGAGGTCATTGGATTTTTTTCAATTGACCTAATTCATCCAGCCGCACTAGGCCCTGGGATTTACTCAGCCTCTAAGAGAAATGGGTACCAGGAATTAATTAAATAATTTTCCTGGGGATTAAAGCGCGGCCGGCGCGTAAGGCTAACAACCTTGCCGCCATCTTTGAGCCGATTGTCTAGATAATGTGGGACCCTCAACGTCTCACAACCCTATGGGTTTTCACGGCCTTGTACAGGGATAGCTTTACTTTTTTTTCGTCCTTACACTTATTTCCAAATACTCCCCATAGAACACTATTCTAAAACATCCGTTCTTCTTCCTGAGAGCTCTGCTGACTTCACATCTTACATTCCCGACTCCATTTTTCTCTGACGGTGCAACAATTACGGATTGGTCTACTTCCTTTAATATATCAAATTTGAGCAATCCTGAGCTTTATGATGCTTTGTCCTACTTCTAACGCCCTCTCGAATACTTCCCTAGTCCTACTGAGAATTACATTTCCCCCCCCCCTGGCACTACAGCCCCAGTGGGCCTAGGCCTACCTCCATGAACTTCTCCGTTCACTTCAGTGTTTCTAGATCTTACACATTCGGTAGGACTCCTTGGGCGGATGATCAGCTCGTCGCAAGGACTCTACCTGTACACAAACACAGAAAAACGCACACACACAAACTAAACATCCATGCCCTGAGTGGGATTCGAACCCACGATCCAGGTTTCCAAGCGAGCGAAGACAGTACATGCCTTAGACCGCTCGGCTACCGTGACCGGCTGAGAATTACATTATCATCTACAATTTCCAATGATGGGGACAATTTTTTAGATTTTATCTGAGAGCAAAATTTTCTTAATTTTAATTTAGTTTCTTGAGTATATTATTGTTAATTGTGTTTTACAACTATCCCATACTGCTTGTATAATCGCTTCGTGTGGATAGTTAGATATGAGCGGACACCAGATTGAGACGCATCACTTTAATAGATAAGTGTGACAGGTTTGGAATAAATTGTGAAGTTAATTCTACAGGTTTCACTTGTTCATACACCCTTAACGCTTTACTGTGACTTGTATTTATACAGAGAAAGATTATCCTATTGCTAGAATTGCGTTAACATTCTGTACACAAGTTATACTGTAATGTACGTTCCCACAGGGAGATCTTTCGGAGTTCTAAATATAGCGTCAGAACGTATGCTATTTAAGAGACATATACGGACCGATATGAGACATACGCACATGTGGGAAAAATAACATTCGAAATTGCAGTGCCACTTAATGACGTAAGTCATCAAGAATACAAATAACGACCACAGTGGTGGTTTGGTTTACCGTTCTTTCATTCTCGATTCGATTCTGACCATGATGTTACACATTAGTATGTGTGTGGAACTCATGGCCCGAACATGTCCCTTCATCATTAAAGCTTTATTGATACAAACAGAATATATAAGAAACAGAACGTTGGTTAGAGTCTGAAGAACGCTGCCAATCATTAAGGAAATTCAAGAAAGGACTTGAAAGAGGCGAACCAAAAAGGAAATTTCATTAGAATATGGATGTCCGTATAAATATCAGTAATTCGAAAATTCCAGTCTAAAACTGTGTAGGAAATTTCTGCAAATGTACTGTGCTTATTATATGCAGATGAGGTAAGATTACTACATTAATGTTTCATAACTCCTCATTACATAAATTTACAGAGCGGAGGATTCATTAATATTTCTGAAACGTGTATAAAGCCCATTAAACTCTAAGAAACTGCTCCGTTTTGCAATATTAGCATGTCCGTGAAGTACGTGGTATGAGTTGGTTTCCTCATGGCATTCGTTCAAGGTGGGACTGCTTTCTCATGAAAAGAAAACCTGTGCTTCAGAACACAGTGCCTCAGATTGTTTCATAAAGAGTATGAGAAGTGAAGCCATTCTCGCTCTTCTTGTGTTTAATTATAACTGTAAAAATATAGGAATGATATAAATCAGCACAAGTTACGGTTTTGTGGATGTTCCTCGAAACTCCATTAAAGTTAAACGCATCCATTTTACATTGTGGTACTCAGGGTTATGACACTGTTTACAATGATACCAGTTACCGAGGTTTCAGAGAAACATTCTGCCTTCATCTTCAGAATAGTATATATATATATCTTTTGTATCACAACCTCCCAGAAAAACTCAAACCTCATACACCCTTCTAATTTCAAATTGTTCCATATATTTGTCCGGAGCTTAATATTTAAAAATATGTTTACATTTATTTATATATAAAATACCACGTAAGTTCTTCGCCCCAAATGACATAATTTATTCTCTCAAACACAACGATCCTGACAATGGATTATTTGTTATACTAATGTTATGCTGGTCGTTGTCAGTACAATGACAACCAGTCATCTGAAGATGGGATTAGAGCCAACTCCAAAAAACGTCGGTTATATCTCAGAAAAAAGATAATGCTCAATATAATAAAGTTATGCAATATCAAAACTGTTTACCTCAATAAATTAGAGCACGATACTGTCACAATTAATAAACTCTTTGTTCCATCAAGTAAGAAGAAAATTAATTCCGCAAATGTATTTTCTTTTATACCTAATTTAATAATATTCTTCCAACCGCATTTCAAGAAATATCTATCCGCAATAGTCCGCAAGCGAATTATACCGACCGAGCGACCGCCGCTTATCGGCGAAGTTAGTGCCAAATTTAGCGGATAGAGGGTGTAGCGTGGTCAGTGCAAACGAATCCCCACGGCAGTTAATTTCGGTTTTCTAGCCGCAAAGTCTTACAAATACGAGTAAATATATTAAACTTACCAATGTATGCTATGTGTCCGGCCCATTTAGAATGTTTTAACTGAATGTGTCTTTTTAGTAATCCGTGAAAATGAAACCACTAAGGTTCTCTGTGTGTAATTTCCTTCATTCTTCGTTACATCATATTACTTGGTTATAAATATTGTCCACAGCAATTAGTTCTGTCATACTGAGTTTCTTCCTTTTCTCTGAGAAATGAGGAAGCTAATTTTCCCACCGTCGTCTGAAACAAAATTAAAACTAAAATCTATTAAAATTTAACATTTGCTCTTTTTCGTTTCGTTTTGGTAAGTACATGAGGAGATATACGAGTACTTAGAGTTAACGAATAAACGTTTCCAGTGTCATTGGAAATGGGCAGTGGCACACAAGATTAGACAAGCTGCGTGTACAAGCCCAAAGATGGTATATTCCCAGCAACGCTTGTGTTACCCCACATTAACATACTGACAGGAGATAAAAATGAAACGCTGTTTACATAAGCAGTTAGACTCATAGTAATGAAAGGGAAATTGCACGGCTTATACATTATCACTTCCCTTCTCAATTTCTCTATTATCACGTTTGGGCAATTTCAAGCACGCTTGCACCCGCAGACAGGCACACAGAGTACAGAAAAGTTATCAAAGGAAGGAATGAGACAGGAATCAGAGGAGCAGATTCCCAGGTGTGCTGGGTAGCGATTAATTCATGTGGCAGCATAAGAAGAGCATATGCAGACAACAGAAGAAGCATTTAAATACGTCAGGTTTTCATTAGTTGTATACAGAACGAGAGAGGGATAATGTGAGGGGGCGGGGGACAAGGTGATATGCTGACTGTAGCTCAACCTGCATTAAACTTTGTGCTTCTCTTTCGTTTTTGTAAAGCTATGAGGAACATAACTTCAA